ATAACCTTTCAACACGACGATTCTGTGAAATTTAACGAAGAGCTTTCGCGACGAATTGGAACCAAATAAGCGAAAAGAGCGATTGATCACTCGCACCAATACCTCGCCGTGATAATTAATGTCGCGCTTATCAAATAGCAATATGACGACAAAAGAGAGATTGCGTAATGAACCAACGCAACTTCGTCTCCTCGGCATCGGTAAAGCGATTGAGACGGCAGAAAAACAGCAAAACGACGGATTCCTCGCGGACCGCTAAAAATTTAACTGCTATCATATATAATCAAATATGAGCCAGTGTGTTTATTCTGTGCGAGATCCATTTTCTATTACAAAATCTTATGTTTTCTGTTAACGGTTTTATCGTTATATATCAATCCGGACTTGGCCCTGCTCATGATGTTTTTCACAATTCCTCTCAATATTTCGGCCGTATATGATTAACTGTCTTACCAAATGCGGCAACTTATTTTGATTTATCGTCGACTTGAATACCACCGGCACTCGACCAAACTTGTGTCAATCTTGGCCGATAGGATCGCCGACTTGAGTTAGCAAATAAATGTCGTGAGTGTAAAATAAATGTCACAAAATGCATTGTTTTGCGATATAACTTTGTATTTTCGGAGAAGGCATATCATATAAGTTCCATATTTAAATTATACTCAAATAAATAATATTTGATCTAAATTTATCGCAAATAATGTTATAAACATTCAGTCCGCGAAATGATTAAATGTAAAATGAAGCATGGTAATCGGAATATCGTCAATAAGTCGACATCAATAATTATTATTATAAAATGCTAACAAGGCAGTAATGTCGGATAATGCAGAAGACGCTGCAAAAACAAGTCTTCGTCGCGAGGAAATCGCAAGTATAATCAAACGAGAGAATACGCTCGTCGTTAGTTAATAAATTAGAAACCCGTAATTTTTATTCAGCACTAAGGTGGTTTTAAAAAACTATCGTTTCCATAAATATCCGTATACCAGTGTCGGTATTGATAAAATAAAATTGATCGCATAAAAATGGGACGGTTAATTTGCGAAGGTGATAAATGAAAACCAAAGCCAACACAAAATATAAAAATCAGAATAAAATTAATTTGAATTCACCCCTTGATATTTGTCTTTAACATCTGCCGACGGCGTGTAGTACTGCCAAGAATATGAAAACCCAACTTCAATGTCCCATTCGGAAAAGAAGTGGATTTAATTGGTTGTTATGATAGGTTTAAATGCGTGGAAAAATATCGCAATTACGGGGTCATTACGTAATTGATTTTGCCGTAATTACGGAATTGATTTTTGTCAATTACGTGCAAGCCTAATCTATACCATTTCACTCGCGTTTGTTTTTGGTTTTGCGCATTCATACCGGTACATTTAGCAACCATCTACTGAAGGCATGCTGACGTGTTATTTATTTTAAACTACCAGTACCGTACACTACGAAGGGGGTGAAAACTAAATCATAACGGAAATGTTAGCAAATAGGTCCCGGTATAATAAGTTGTATACAAAAACAAAGATAAATATCTCCAACCTATTACATTAAATTCAATAACGGTACAGTACCGGTATCCTAACTAGGTTAAAAAAACATGTAAGCACGTCTTCAGAGAAAAGTTGCTTGCTGTACCGGTAGGATATGCGCAAATCTAGTAAAGAAAAATGAATCTGACTGTATACGTGAACAGACTGCCATTTCGGCTCAACTTTACTAACTAAAATAGGTCTTTCTTTAAACGCCAAACACGGTAGGTTGTGGTCCCGGTATTGTGTTGCCGGTATCACATAATAAGAAACACGAGCAGTTGGAGCGCATATTTCACAGACCACAACGCGTTGGCGAAATGTCATGAAATAGTGAGAAAGACGCCAGCGGAAACACCACGCCCATTATATTCCAATGAACGATTATCAAAAATCTTGACCATTTTTGTCATGATAAAAATATCAGAAAGTATATAAAAAAATATTCTTTTTTCAAAACTGCACACGTCCACAATGAAAGATAACTAGAAAATTACAAAAAATGCAAATTTCTTCTCTGGTGATCACATTCCCCGTAAGAGCTAATGTTAAAATCGTTTTGTTTATGCCTCTTTTATATTTCGCGCGTAGGATGGGTTTTGAATGATTAAGGTCTATTATACTTCTCTGGCAAGTGTTCCACTGGACAAGGACGTCGAAAAAGGTTTCTGTTTTTCCCCGGAACTGTGCGTATAGATTTTACCCAAATTTGACAAACCATGCGAGAAAATTCACATCGATGTTTGTACATATGCGTGCTAACAATTATTATCGAATATGAACATTACATTTGTCCATTGACTGGTTTAAAATTCCACGCCATAACGATTTTCATACTAAAACATAATGTCTTAATCATTGATGAAAACTTCCTCTACCGCTTAATTAATAAATTTAAAAAAAAAACTGTTACACTACAGTTTCTCTTAGGTTAAATTTGGATATTAATTAATGCTAGCGAGAAGAGCCGCATGACAACTATCGCAAGCGCATGCGGTTTGCCCAGCGTTATTTTATAGTAGACGAATTTTGGGAATTTCTCTATTTTCGGGCGTATGGACCTTTCCCCGACCTTTGACCCCCGGAAAACTCTTCCTATACTTCACCATTGCAAAATTTTCGGGGCTATTTCAAGAGTGCTTTTGCGAGTTGGCGCCTGTGAAATGGGTTATGTGTTTCAAACCATCATTATGATTCATAGCATACAACAATCTGTTTTTTAAAAAGTACCGTTAAAGAATTTTAGCCTAGTCTATCACAGCTATTTCTACACTAATTTTTATTACTGCAATTAAATTAAAACTCTTAGGAAGACAGGGTGACCATTGAATTATCTGATTTACATTTAAGTTTCTAAAACACAACTGAAAACTAACGAATAGTTTTTAAAAATGCGAAAACGAGGTAATGTTTACGATCACGCTTGAAAATCTGTCTGAGTGAGAAAAGTGTCTGAGCGGATGCGAAAAGGGGACATTGTTACGTCACTTTTTGCAATTTGCTGATTGGCCAATGTCACGAAGTAAACAAGGAAGTCGATGCTCGGGGAAAGGTCCATAAGATCGTTCATATAATAACAAGCTTGCCACTGGAGACTAAAAATTTCAGTCAGGCAGCAGTAACAATATTATAGATTTTAAAAACCAAATCCAAAAAATGAACATGTTGCTGTCAACATCGTGAAATGAGAAATATTATATGTTTGCATTGGAAATCTCGCAAGAAAATGCTCGATGTAAACAACATTTCTGCATTTCTGGTAAGATATGCATATTTGAAATAATAACTATTCACATGATATTGCTTCGTGATTGTGTTTATTCACAGCCTTAAAAAAATTCAACCGCTTTTTTTGTAACGGAGGTAAATAAAGTTTCTTGATCCTCTCATGCTCATTATTTGGTTCTTCATAAAAATCGTTAATTTTTTATAATTTTTTTTTTCGATTCGATGCTGAAGAAACCTGATATATTATTTAGTCCTCGAATATTCACCTCGATTTGACACCACATAATATTTCATGACTTTTATTCCCGTAAAAAATTCATGGAAATATTCTACTAAAGTTGGTTGTGACCTTTTATAAAATGTCCCATCATATTCTTCACTTTTAAAATGAAATATTATTATATGCTTGTGAATTCTTCAAATTATTAAATTATTTCGTATTACTTTCGTAAGAACTTGTTGCTATTATTTTTTGTACAATTATAAACGCTGAGAATTTTACTGGTTTTACGCATCCTAACATTCTAGGAAATTCGGCAGCAGAACGTTTCGACAAATTTTCAATTTATAAATTCTACAATTCCAAGTACTTCTAGTGCAATACATTCTTTACTAAAGAGTCTTTGCCCTATTTGAAGTCAAGCTTTGCAACTAAATTATAACTAAGCGATACGTCAAATATTTATTCTCTATAATTAGGGTTACCATATTTTTGTGAGCTCAAAGCGGGACGCCTCCAAAGACCATAGCTGTGATTTTGTCAACTTTAAATTTATCGATTTTACATTAGGGGACTACTCTTAAAACCATCCCGACCGTCTTCATTGATCATATTGTCATCGAGACGGTTTCAATTCGAAAACTAGAATGGAATTTACGTTAACGCTAAGCGCGGGGCTTATACGTAACAAATTAGGGACATTCCCTTTGACATACCCTTTGACCTTCGCTGATGCAAAAAGAGGTGACGCCTGCGATTTCTTGCTCTGAACGTTAACGCGTCCAGGCCTGACTTCCAATGTTTCTTGTGAATAAAACGCAATGTAATGGTGTTTCGTTGGTGGATTCATAGAATTACTGTTTTCAGATGCGTTATGGTATTTTAGTGAAAATAACGTGCGCATGATGTACCGTAAACCTCCATATGTGAATACCTGGATGCGATGCCATATTGATCTTCAGATCAATAACTTGGATAATATTGATACAAGTATCTCATAAATTATACTACAAGAAAGGTATTCTTTTTTTAACTTATAAGGTAAGATTCGATGAGTTTTCAATATTGTTTACAAGTAATAACATCACCAGAATACCGGTATGCCTAGATAAAAACTGTATTCACGAACAATTACAGAGTAAGTATATAGCAACTAACCCCCAAATGTACCCCACTTCATGTTGAAATCATCAAAACAAAGTTAATTTTTCCCAAAATTCGAACAAAGACTTTCGTAGGAATAAAATTACACCAGTTTTAATTACATAACATGTTCCACCCAGTCATTATCAAATTAAAATTTATATTCCCAAGACCTTTGGCACTGATTGAAATAATTATATCTAAGTTCCCATCCGTACGATGTACATAATTACACTTGAGATAATATGAGTTTCTGTTTATAACGTGAATCACGAGCTCACGTTTACAGTATTTCATTAGATTTATGATCGACGTATAAATACGACTCGATATCTTTCAATGTTACGCTAGTCTGGATGAATGTTATAAGATTTGTATTCTGTGTATCGTGGAAATCTGAGAATAAAATCAAACAGAGTTTTCTAAAGTTTCTTCATTAACGTGGGCATTGAAGTTGTAGGGTGAACGGGCGACTGGCAGTTCTGAGACGGTCTACGAAATAGCAATATACGGTAACATCACATTCATTTACCAATCATATATGCCATAAGTATAGGCCTATCACTTTCTGTTTCAGATGTTTACAATTCAAACAAATACAGCTGGAGAAGACCCTTATGCTTGAGCTCTTACAACCTAATCACCAGGGTTGCTGTACGCTGATTGAACTACCAAGCCAACTACTATAGAATATTTTAAAAAAAATTGTTTCTGTGCGGTACATACTGGGACAGTGAAGGGATTCAATCAGACTACTGTAGTAGCCAATGTCATATGCACGTAGAACGTGGTATACATATATTATTCACTTTACGCTTTAGCCTACACTTAAGCTTAATCAGAATATTTTGGTCGGGTTTAAGCTAAGCTCGTTAACAACATTTGATAGTGTCATTACATCTGCAGAAACTTCAAAACGGTGTTATTGATATATGATAAATTACTTGTAAGAAGCGTAAAGCAAATGTAGTAAAATGACATGATATAAAAATCATTCGTCGGTAAGCATCTGTATGTTATTTGTGAATTAAGGCGTACCCTAATGATAGTTTGCATCAAACTTTAATTTTAAAGGTTGTCGTCAGTTTACTGCCCCATGTGAACCAAGATGGCGGACACCGGAACATATTATGTGTACCAGGTTAAAATTAGGCCATAATTTTATTCCAATTTTCCTTATTTTAGTTTTATTATGAGTTAGGAGACTAGCCAAGTGAATCCCGTAGTATTTATACCTGAAATTATGGCCTAACAATAACCAGGTACACATACTACGTTTCGGTATCGCCATCGGTAAGCAAAATCTTAACTTTAAAAAATGTTCATTGCACACAAACATACACACCGTTTCAAATTATATTCTTAGGTCATGAGCTCATGCTTACAAAATACCTTACAAATAACAGCTGATTGATTGAATACCAAATGGGAGGTACAGGAAAGTAATTACCGAATTTTCTGACACATAGACAGTATTTTTCGTAATTTTGTTTAGGCTGGTTGCAAAAAACACCCGACATGAATTTTATTGTTATACCATAACATTAATATTTACTTACATTAATATTCAGTCATAGCCAACCTAGGTATTCGATTTTAAGTTTTCTACGATGCCAAATTTGTTGGCAAATTTTCCAAAAAATATGATGCGCTTGGTGGTATAAATTGTTAACTGACTATCTTTATCCGGTTATTTTTTGACTCTGTATGTACTATGTATATGCGTGGTCATGTATATTTTGGCTGTATATATGTAACGTTCCCAGTTGCACTCAATGAAGTTAAAGGTGATTGAACCACTTTTCGAATAAATATTGAGATTTTGAATTCGAAGTATTGCAGAGTTATAATTTAATTGCAAAGCTTGACTTAAAATGGAGCAAAGGCTTATGACAAAGAGTAAAAAAAAGTAGTGCGCCAGAAGTACTTGAAATTGTAGAAAGTGTAAACTGAAAAATTTTATTTGTCGAAACGTTCTGCTGCCAAATATGTGTAATACCAGTAAAGTTCTCAGCGTTCATATTTTTACAAAAAATAATAGCAACAAGTTCTTACGAAAGTAACGTGAAATAATAAAATAATTTGAAGAATGCACAAGCATATACAGTAATAATATTTAATTTTCAAAGTTAAGAATACGATGAAATATTTTATAAAAGGGCACAACCAGCTTTCGTAGAATAAAATTAAAGTTTGACGCAAATTGGTATTAAGTTACTTCTTTATTCGCAAATAACATACAGAGGCTTACCGGCGAATGAGGCTGATACAATGACATTTTACTACATCTTCCTTACGCTGGTTACAAGTAATTTATCACATATCAATAACACCGTTTCGAAGTTTTTGCAAGTCTAGCGACACTATCAAATGTTATCAACAGGCAAAAACTTTCTGTCTGGGCTTCATAAAAAAAGTGTTAAATTGTAGCCAATTAGTTGTCCCAATTCGTGAGAAACACATGAAAAACAGAATTAATTATTCCCGTTATAGCAATTATCAATTTCTCAAAATCAAATTTTAAGTTTTGATAGCCTTTCGGTGTCATCCCATGTAAAAATGAAAATTTATTTTCAGTAATACTCCAATAACGTATATTCGAAATATCTTGTTAAAACCAAATTATCCACTTGAGAACAACTTTTTACATCTCATAATTGGAGTAAGTACGTACCAGGAACACGGTGACTTGGCAATAACAAGTTAATTGCTAGTAATGAACTTTAAGAAAACACTTTTAATAATATTTGATTATAGTGAACCGAAAGCTTACCAGAAACCGGAATGAAGCGTGATTCTTTAATTGTTAATGTAAAAATCTGTTTTGTTTATTCCATTTTAATTGCTTAGTAAAAAGTTATATATTCAGCAATGTGTTTTGTGTTAATCAGACTAGATTTGATCTAATTGTGTGTGCATTGTATTTCTGTATATATTGTCGGAATTGCAATAAACTCATAAGGTGTTTTCAAACGTCTCTTTACTACAGCCGAAGGCTATCGACAGATAGACAGTTCAAGTTAACGAACGAAAGAAAAAATTATTGTCAGTCAATGCTGGGGTTATAATACACAAACCAGACCAATCTACAAACAATCTATGTGTAGTGATAACTAATCACTATAAAATAACTCTGTTATACTTACTGTTCTTGTACTTATACTGGGCCTCGTAAAAAAAAAGTTATCAACAGGCGTAGGTTAAACTTTACAAAAAATTTCCTGACTGGACTTCATAATAAAAAATGAAACGTGAATAATGATAGACGTTTAACTGGACTTTGATTTAATTACTTTGTCACCTGTTTACTATAATCGGCTGAACAATGGTTTAGTGAAGATAGATTCACAATCATTTTCACCAGCTTATTTTTAAAACGAAGAATATGATAAAATCCTTTAAGAAAAGTCACAACTCTTTTTAGTAGAATATTTTCATGAAATTTTTACGGGAATATTTAGTCAGGAAATATTATGTGGCGTCAAATTGAGGTGAAATTCAAGGAATAAATAATATAACAGGTTTTTTTAGTATCAAATCGAAAAATAAAGTTATAAAAAGTAACGATTTGTATGAAGAACCCAAAATTGTACATGAAAGCATCAAGAAACTCTTTTATTAACCTGCTACGAAAAAACTAGTTGATTTTTTTGAAACTCGTCAATAAACACAATCATGAAGTATTGCCATGTGAACAGGTATTATTGCAAATTTGAATGTATTACCAAAAATACAGAAATGTCCATGACTTTTTTCATCAGTTGCACCATCGATATTTGTTTGCTTACAAAATGAAAAAATAACTATTACAAATGTTGTTTTCATCGGAAATTTCAATATAATATATTCAAGGCAAGTATTTATTCCCCACTTCACCACCATTATTATATGAACATCTCATACGCTAAAAATTGTTGCAAATTTACGAAATTTGTATACTATAAAATATAGGCCATCGACTTAAATAAGGAAATATTGAAAATAAAGAAAAAAATCTTTTCTTGCCTCTAGTTATATAAAATATTGTAACAACCGAATTGGTTAGTTTGTGGTGATCCCTTGGATTCAAAACACAATCGTCTTATTACCGGAGAGAAAAGATGGTTAGAGCGTACCCAATTTTGGTGATGCTGTGTTTGAAGGTGGTTTCGCTTCCAACAAGTTCAGGAGGTAAGTCATCCATATTTTCAAACAAGTAAAAGTCGAATGTCTCAAAAGTTGGCATCACAAATATTGCCAATCGTCAAATATTGCCCTTCATCACTTTATAATTTCACATTGTTAATACAATCTGCAATTTAGCCAGGAATTTCCCAAGTGGCCTATAACACACATTGTATATGCCTATTTTTTTTGAGCCATAAACTCAAATATATACATATATATATCAAAAATTAATAATGCAACACATCATCAAGTTTTTTTATCAATAATATTTATTTACTAGTTCTGTCTGTTGGTTGATTTGTTACAGGTGAAAGCCCGACAAAAGATGGCTTTTTAAAACTGGAAGAAGAAATGGGAAAGTTGAAACGCGTATCACAGAAAATGCTAAAGGCACTTCTTCAATGCAAAGCATGTGGTATGATGTCCTTAAATCTACCTCTACAGAAGTGTAGAATACTCGCAATAAAGTAAAGTCATAATTGGCACCTGTTGTTGCTAATTTTTGTAGAAAAGTTTGATACAAAAATCGCTTGATTATTTTCAATTTAAAATCATACTATTTTCAAATAGAGCTAGAAGACGATTGTGATCTCAGTAACCCTTGCTTTACGGGTGTTGAATGCACTGATGTAGATGGAGGCGTGAAGTGTGGTCGTTGTCCTGAGGGATATATGGGTGATGGAAGAACGTGCAAATTTATCGAAGACGTGAGTTTGTGAATTTATTATCTATGGTTCATAACATCCTCATCAATTTTTATGTATTTATGAAAATGTCAATTGCGTACAAGTTTATGCAAAAATGACATTGAAATAAAATTCCATTTTTTTATCACAAAGTGTTCAGTAGGACAAGCCGGCAACGGGATTCACTGCGGAACGGATAGTGATCTTGATGGGCGACCAGACGAAGAATTGCCGTGTGAGGAGCACTCATGTCAGAAGGACAATTGTGTAAATGTACCAAATAGTGGACAGGAGGACAGTGATGGAGATGGAATTGGCGACGCTTGCGATGAGGATATCGACGATGACGGCAAACCAAACGCGAAAGTAAAGTAGTTTCCTCGATTGCACTTTTTTGGTCTCTCATGGCCAGCACAGTATGACCCCCTTTCCTAAAAACAGGTCACTTGTAGCATATACAAGGAAGAACATAACTTTTGTGCAAAACGCCCATGATTACTGATTTATAACTTGATTATGTAAGTAAATATAAATTAAATAGCAACTCTAAAACCTATAAGTAATGTTGCATATACTCTATACATGTTGCTATACACACCCAATTATGAGTTTTTTTAGGACAATTGCCGATACATTGCGAATGCAGGGCAAGAGGATGGTGATGGAGACGGTGTGGGTGATGCATGTGATAATTGCATATCGGATGAAAATTTCCAGCAATTTGATGTTGATAAAGACGGATTAGGCGATGAGTGTGATGACAATAAGGATGGGGACGGTAAGTGAGAATATGAGATCTCATATCTCATACAAAAACCCTCGACCAGTGCTGAAACTAATGTC